GGGGGGTGATTTCTTGCTTTCTGTCTCTCTGTCTCTCTCTCTCTGTCTGGCGAGTGCACGCGCCCTATAGCAAAAACGTCTAAAAAAAAAAAAAAGAGCCACCCCGGGGAGTGAGGGCATGGGGAGGGCCGGGGTTTGCACGAAGCGTCACCCGCAGGCCTGGCCCCAAGTCCCGAGTCCCTCACCTGCACCAGATGAGCCCAGGTGCAGGATCCCAGGCTCGGGGGAGCCAGTCGGCGCGGTCCCTAAGCAGTGAGCTCTGCCCTCCCAGGCCCTCTACCTACTGGGGACCCTCCTTGACCCCACAAGACCCCTCTGCTCGGGTCTTGGACCCTGCGGCTCCTGAGGCTGAAGTCGCCCCTCCCTCTCTCTTTCCAGCCAACCTCAGACTCGAGACTCGCTCCGTCCTCACCGCCCTCAGCCTGCCCCAGGCCACGTCATCTCCACCATCGTGGGCCTGGTCATTGCCGCGATGCCTGCTCCAGGCGCTGTGCTGGCAGCTCAGGGAGTTGCTCAACAACACCCTCAGCGATGTCGCATTCTGTCCCCGTAAACGCATTTAGGTCGAAACTATCTGAAGTCGAAAATGCCTTTAATATGTGGGGTCTTCCAAAGTTCATGTGCATGGAAACCTAAGCACAACTTCGCATTTTCCTCTTGCAGCAAAATAAACTCCCCTTTAACCTCACTTTGCATGAGCCTCCTGAAGTCCCCTCAATGCTCGAACCCCAGCGCTGTGGGCTGACAGCCGGGCCACCGCCCAGACGGCTCCCTAGTGACCACGGGGGTGCGAGCCCTGGGAGTGCCCCCCCCACATGCACGCTGCTTCCTCGGCCGAGTCACGGTGGGCAGCACCCTTGGACACCAGGGAGCAGGCCCTTCCGAACCTCCCTGCCCCGAAGCCCTGGGGAGGCCTGGAAGGGCGGCGTGAGACCCCATCTGTTCTCCCACCCTGTCCTCCCTGCACGCCACAGTGGAGCAGGGGCTCTGCTGGAATGCCGTGGCCTGGGCTCTCTCCCGCCTGGCTCCAGGAGGCTCTTTCCCCCGGGCTCCCTGCGGGCCCCCTCTCTGCCCAGTTGGGGGCTCAGAGGCTGCAGCCAGCCCAGGCTTGGAGGAAGGCTTGTCTCCTGGCCCCCGTCAGTGCCCTCTCCTCATGGTCTCCCAGTGTTCCCACATGTGGCCTCCCGGATCATGTACCCCGTCACAGCCAAGCCCTCGGCCAGATGCCCCTGCTGTTTTATTTTGGACTTGTTCTTGTCAATAATGCCCTATTAAAAGTCGAAAAATACATTTTCCTCCTGCCGATCTTTTTCCTTTTCATTTAGCAAACATTGATTTTTCCCCCTCTTGCAGATGGAATAGAAATGAAATCACACGTCTCTTTGGGGTGATTTAGTTGTCAGGGCCGAGGGCAGTGGGCAGACGAGGGGCTTCTGTGTCACCTCGCCCATGGTCCCCTTGTGACCTCAGACAGTCGCTTAGCTATTCTCCTCTGCTGTGTTTATTCCCCTTGGCGCCCAGGCCTGGGAGAGCCTCAGGCACTATTGACCAGCCAGGGGGCCTCCTGGAGAGGTTCTGATAAAAGCTTCTGTGAAAAAGCCATGTTCAGGCTGTGCCCACACCAAGCCTCAGGAAGCAGCGATTATCCAGTGAACCTGATTAGTGTAGACAGCACGGCTGCATCCACTCTGCACACCCCCATCCTGTCCATCTCCCCAGCTTGAACCACTGCGTGGGGACAGAGTGCATTAGAACAAGTCCCTGGGCTTCCAACACACCTGGCTATACCTCTCTGGCTCCCGATCTCCCCGTATGGCTTTGGGGACATAAAACTTCCCTCCCACGCTGGTGGCAGAGATTCCTGGGCTAATTTCAGTGAGATCCTCTGAGAATACCAGGGGAGCAGGTGCTTAAAAGGCGAGCGTTCGGGAAGGCGTGGTGTAGACCAACTTACAAACAGGGCCGAGGCCTCTGTCAGGGTCAGCGTGGGCAAGCCACTTTGGGACTCAGTTTCTTCATCGGTTTCATAGGGATTCTCACAGCACTGGCCTCAGAGAGCATGAGCCTGGAGTTGGTGCTCCACGATGAGGGTGGCTGCTGTCATGGTGGTGATGACATTGCTAATGGTGATGAAGATGATAATGGTGATGGTGATGGTAAGGAAATGATGGTAACGAGGATGGCAAAAGTGGTGATGTTGATGGTCATGATAGTAATGGTGGTGATGTTGGTAGAGATGGTGGTGATGATGATAGTGATGGTGAGGATGATGGTGATGGTAACAATGTTGTTGATGTTGATAATGGTAAGGAAAAGATGACGGTGATAGTGGTGGTAATTATGATGGTGAAGATGGTGGTGCTGATGGCAGTGATGGTGATGATGATGTTGATGGTGGTGAGATGGTGGAGATGATGCTGATGGTGGTGATGTTGTTGATGTTGATGCTGGTGATGATGATGGTGGAGATGATGATGGTGGAGACGATGATGGTGGAGATGATGTTGTTGATGTTGGTGGTGATGAAGATGGTGGAGATGATGATGTCGATGGTAGTGATGATGTTGTTAATGTTGATGGTGGTGATGGTGGTGAAGATGATGATGTTGATGGTAGTGTTGATGTTGTTGATGTTGATGGTGGTGATGAAGATGGTGGAGATGATGATGTTGATGGTAGTGATGATATTGTTGATGTTGATGGTGGTGATGATGGTGAAGATGATGACGTTGATGGTAGTGATGATGTTGATGTTGATGGTGGTGATGAAGATGGTGGAGATGATGATGTTGATGGTAGTGATGATATTGTTGATGTTGATGGTGGTGACAAAGATGGTGGAGATGATGATGTTGATGGTAGTGATGTTGTTGGTGTTGATGGTGGTGATGATGGTGAAGATGATGATGTGGATGGTAGTGATGATGTTGATGTTGATGATGTTGTTGATGTTGATGGTGGTGATGAAGATGGTGGAGATGATGATGTTGATGGTAGTGATGATGTTATTGATGTTGATGGTGATGATGATGGTGGAAATGATGATGTTGATGGTAGTGATGATGTTGATGTTGACGGTGGTGATGATGATGATGGTGGAGATGATGATGTTGATGGTGGTGATGGTGGTGGTGATGACAGTATTGACCTTAGTCTGCTTTCTGCAGCTCTAACAGAACACCACAGACTAGCTAATTCATAAAAAACAGAAGTTTATTTGGCTCACAGTTCTGGAGGCTGAGAAGTCCCAGAGCATGGTGCTGGAATCTGCTTATCCCCTGGTGGAAGGTGGAAGGCAGAGGTGAGTGCGTGAGACAGAAAGAAAAGTGGGCTGAACTCGCTTTTATTTATCTTTTTTTAATTATGAACCCCCGTCTCTAATAACAGAGTGATTTATTCAGGAGGGCAGAACCCTGGTGACTTAATGCCATCGCAATGGCAATTAGATCTCAACCTGAGTTGAGGAAGGTAGAAGCATACAAACCACAGCAGACAGTGACAATGTTGCTGCCACTGCTGGAGGTGATGACGACGGTGAGACATTGCCATTGGTGATAACACACTTTCCTCTTGTGGGGACCGCATAATCAGTCAGAACGTGGCTTTCCAGAGAGCTCTTCCAAAGCCCTTCCCACCCTCTGCTACTGAGATGGGTCTACTCCCTGTCCCTTGGGTCTGGGCTGGCTCTGAAGCTTGCGCAGTTGCTAGAACGTGGGGCAACGGTGTCACATGACGTCCAATGCTGGGACAGAAGGACTTTGCAGTCCCCTTCTGTGCCCTTTGGGACATCCCAGACTCCCCACCCATGACATGCAAGAACGAGCAAACTGAGAACCATGCTGGGGAAGCCGAATGTGGGTGTTCTGGGTGCCGGTTCCGCTGCACCCAGCCTTCCAGCCAGGCTTATGGGGTAAACTGCCAAAGACCCTCTGGGCCAGCCTGGCTGCCACCGAATGCCGCCGGTGAGCCTGGTCCATGCTGCACGGGCAGAAGCCGTGCTTGTGGGCCCGACGGGCTCCCTGACCTGTCTGACAGTGAAAGTGAGATGGCCGCTGTGAGTGCCTCTTCTCGGGCGGCGTACATCGTAGCCTGCTGGGATGGTGGGTCCGGGTGGCTCTGGGTCTCCACCAGAGAACCATGGACTAGTGCCGTGTCTACGGGGACAGATGGCTTTACAGGGCAGGCCCAAACCCTGCTGGACGCGAATGGCTGTGAGGTCCTTTGGGAACAGGCCATCCCGCAGATGAAGAGAAGCTTCGTCACAGGGCTGTTACCGAACTGTAGAGTCACAGAGGGAGAGTTGCTTGTGCCCTCTGGAGAGAGCCAGCCTAGAGCCCTGGCAGGCACCACCGGAGCACCGTGCAGCTGGAGGGTGCAGCCCTGGAGTCCTTGCGCTGACCACACTCTGCCCTCCTAGGCGGCGCTAGTGGAAGCTCTTGCTGCCTGAGGCTGCCCTGTGGGAAGTGGGCAGGGGGCAGGGTGGGCAATGCCCTGTGCCCCCCAGAACTGGCCTGGGGGCAGGGCTTCCTCTTCCACTCGTGTCCAGGCATGAGCCCAGGGTCTCGGAGCTTCAGGAGACAGACCAGAGCCACATGCTAGGGTGACTTCGAACCCAGGTCTGTGCAGCCCCCAAGCCCTGTCCCCTGCTGCATCCTGGGGCCACGCTATGAGAATCAGAGGGGTTTTCCGTGAAAATGTAAGGGGTACCTCCTTTGAGGGGCCCCAGTTTTGATCTCCAATGGACCATGTTCATTCATCTTGGAGTGAGCTTCGAGCTGAATCCCTCCTTGAATCCCCCCTTCAGGGAATAACAGCCCCATCCAGGGCAGAGGGGAAGTCTCCGACCAGATGCACCCCATATGAGCAACTCATTGCAACTCATCTGGGGGCCCACAAAGAAGCGCAGCCAGACCTCTGACGATGTGGAGTGGGGAGCAGGGAAGCCCAGCATAGCCCGCCACGGCTGCTTCTGGGGGCATTTGGCACTACAGGCCCGGATGGTGTGGGTGCCCGATACAGAGCCAGGCCTCGGGGGGACACATAGATGCAGGGGCCTAGGACCCCAAGTGGCTATGGGTAATGCCCACGTGCCGCCCTGAGGCTGGCCAAGTTGGTGTGGAGCCCCTGCCCCTCCATCATGGTCACTGCTCACTCTTCCTGCCATGGGCACCCACCCTGTGGGCACACACACCATGGACACGGGTCACGGGCACCCATACCATGGGAATGTGCGTCGTGGGCACACATGCCATGGGCATACGTCCATACCGCAGGCGTGTGCGGCACACGTGTGGGTACACACACCTGAAGTCCTGCTGAGGCTCCTCCCTGTCTGTGGAAGCCGGGTGCCCCTTGGCCTCTCTTGCCCCCAGTCTCAGGACGCAGCAGTCAGCCGGGCCTGCCCTCCCCAGCTGCAGGAGGGAGGGCGTGGGGTAGCGAGCAGCAAGGCCAGGCCGGATCCCAGGCCCTCGGGGCAGCCTCCCTCCTGCACCTGCAGCCACATCACGGTCTCTTTTGTGTCATGGGTGCCACATGGGGTTGGGAAGTGGTCCCCACCACAGTGTGCTGCTGCTCACACTCAGCCCCAGTCTTCTGTGGCCCTGTGTCCTAGGAGTGCGTGGCCGGGCCGTGTGGAAGATGTACATTTAACTTTTGGAGCAAACGCGGGCGTCTTCTCCCTAAGCGATTGTCCTATCTCAGTATGTCCCACACCTGTGCAGGAGAGTCCTGCTGCCCCAGAGCCTCACTGCCACCAGGCAGGAGCAGCCTTTTCATTTTTTATTTTGAAGAGGTTTTTTTTTTTTTCCCTATAGGGAAAATGTGGTGGTAGGAGAGACACAGAGATGGACAGGAAGTGAGAAATCACCCCCTGGGGGCTGTGGCCATGCCTCAATCCCTTCTCCTCCATTCTCCTCTTGGGATTTTGGGATGCCCGCGCACACACTGACGTGATTTTCAAGCTGCTGGATCCACACTTGAACTGCAGTCGATCATGGGGGGTCCAGCGTCTAACCACTATGCTACCTACTGGCCCCTCGCCTTTTTGTTTTGGCCACGCGGGGAGTGCAGGGGGTACCACGAGGCAGTCTGAGTGTGGATTTCTCTGATGATCAGCAGCATTGAGCATTGTGGGCATTGGCCATCCCACATCTTTACGCGAAGGATCTTCAAATCTCTCTCCAATTTTCTAACTTGTTGCTTTTCTTACTATTAATCTTTAAAATTCTTCATGTAGTCTAGATGCAGACTCTCCATGTGGCACATCTTGCAAACATTT